GCGGATAGGGAATAGGGTAAACCCAGCTAGAAAAATTCATGTGGCTCAAATCTGGCATGCACCAGTCACATACCGCATGGAATGATGGCACTTGGGCGGTCCGCTCCTGTTGGCCAGATCTGGGCCACAATTAAGCCATAGCAACATCACATATCAGCCAGAATTCAACCAAATGAACCAGAACTGACCCTTTTCTGGGCCACAGTTTGCTTTTATTCTGGCCCAGATCTGGCCTACACCTGGGCCACTAACACCTCAAATCCACATTAGCCATAGCTTACTGTGCTGAACATTTGCCAAAAGTGGCCCACATTTGTTTTAAGATGACTGGGCCACATTTTCCATATCTCCTCTATGCCACTATAGGCTCACAGCTGCATTAGCCAGTTTATTCTGCTGAATATAGACCAAAAGTGGCCCACATATGTTTTAAAATAACTGGGCCACATTTGCCATAATTTCTCTTGGTCACTTTAGGCTCACAGCGGCAATAACCAGAGCTTCCTGTGCCGAATATTTACCAAAAGTGGCCCACATATGTCTTAAGATAGCTAGGCCACATTTGCACCTACACATGTGAGCCACTTAAGGTTTAGATCCAGATTACTCTTAAATGACTATGCCACATTTTTGGCCAACTGTGGCCCACATTTGTCCTCCATCATTTGGGCCAAATTGATCATTTCCACATGGGCCATATTAGGCTCACATTCAGATTACATTTTGCCATAAGTGCCAAATCTTTGCCTTTAATGGCCCATATATGAATTTAAATGTTTGGCCCCCCTTTGTCATTGTACAGGTGGGCCACTTCAGGCTCACATTCATTTTGTCTGGGCTGAAGGAAGACCACCAGTGCTGCATAACTGCCTAAAGTGGCCCACATTCACATGCTATCTGGGCCTCTTTAAAGTCTGCGTAAACTGAAAGTTGCAGCAGAATTTTATTGCATTATGATGATGTACATTCAAATTGTTAAGTTCCTCTCATCTTTCACTAGCAGCAAACAAAGGGTAAGAGGGCCGTGGCTGAGCACTTTTCACCCAATCCAAACAAATTGATGACATCAGAAAAAGACAATGGCTACTTTCTACAGATACAGGATATCTTGTTTCGGCACAGAAACAAAAATTAATTAATAAATGTTTAGAATAGCTTGAGGGTGAGGCAGTGGTGCAGTAGGTAGTGCTGTCGCCTCATAGCAAGAAGGTCGCTGGTTTGAACCTCGGCTCAGCTGGCGTTTCTGTGTGAAGTTTGCATGTTCTCCCTGCGTTTGCGTGGGTTTCCTCCGGGTGCTCCGGTTTCTCCCACAGTCCAAAGACATGCGGTACAGGTGAATTGGGTAGGCTAAAATTGTCTGTAGTGTATGAGTGTGTGTGTGGATGTTTCCCAGTGATGCGTTGCGGCTGGAAGGGCATCCGCTGCGTAAAAACTTGCTGGATAAGTTGGCGGTTCATTCTGCTGTGGTGACCCTGGAATAATAAAGGGACTAAGCCGACAAGAAAATGAATGAGAATAGCTTGAGAGTGAGTACATGCTTCGTAATATTAGATTTTTGGGTGTGCTATCTCTTTAATTGGTTGGCTTTTGTACACGAAATTACAATTACAAAACATACCACCACCTTAAACGTACTTACACTGATTAAAAGTTATGTTATGGTTACTTGTTTTTTTTTTTCAAAGAAGAAGAGACAAAACAAATCAAATTGTATTCACATTTATTTTGCTTTTAGTGTGCTCACAAAAATGTAAACACCTTCAGCAGCGAAATTCCATATGAAACTGTGTAAGCGAAGTTACATTCAAACTCAAAGTCAAATGTAAACGCTTCCCCAATATTTACAAAAGAGACCAGATGCCAACTCTGCATCTGATCGTTTCCCAAATTTTGTCAGACAACCTGTGAAAAAGGATTATCTGCTGTAATCAGTTCAAATTACACTAGAAACAGGAACCGGAACATGCGTCACAGCTTGACTAGAGATAAAAAATAATGCTTCAATGCTCTGAAAACCATGTAGAAATCCAAACGTGCTGACAGAAGAGCTGCATGTGCTTTTTGAGATCAAGATCTTTATACAGTAACACAGTTAAACGCCCATTCTGTACATACTTTATGAGCTCACAGAACCACTACAAAGCATGTGTAAATTGTTTTCCTACTGAACTCATTGACCGTTACAGGGTTCCCAGGGTCTTTTTTTCTTCTTATATATTTTGTTAAAAAAATCATTTAGTATTGTTAATTGTAGTGCATGTTTTCGTGATCATTCTATTTTAAACTACTCGTCAGTGCACAGCAAAAATCCTCTGAGTAAAATTTTGTTTAGTTCACCGTGTAATTTGGTCCCTCTCTAAAGCTGCGGTCACACTGGGCTTTTCCTCACCTCCCATAGACTTCCATTCATACGCACCCGAATGCGTCAGACCGGAAACGCATGCTTATGTGTTAAATGTCGCAGGTTGCTGTGGTGCAAAGTTTAAGCTTGGTTAACTCTGATCTGCGAAATTGCATCACTTGACTGCGTGAGACCAATCGAGGATCAAAACATGACCTCTCTGGACAGAAATTTAAAACATGGAGCAATCGCTCGCTTTTTTAATGCCTAATAATCTTGTTTAATCCCGCCTCTTTTCGCAGTGCCGCACATCAGAATTTTGCACGCACAAACTCTAGTGTGACCGTCAAGTGATGCGATTTCGCAGGTCAGAGTTCAACAAGCTTGAACTTTGAACTAGGGCTGCTCGATTTTGGGAAAAATCATAAACACGATTATTTTGGTCATAATTGTAATTACGATTATTCAAAACGATTATCAGTTAAAGTCAAAATTATTAGCGCTCCTGAGAATTTTTTTCAAATAAATATTTCCCAAATGATGTTTAACAGAGCAAGGAATTTTAACAGTATTAATATTTTTTCTTCTTCTGGAGAAAGGCTTATTTGTTTTATTTTGGCTAGAGTAAAAGCAGTTTTAAATATTTTGAAACCCATTTTAAGGTCAATATTATTAGCACCCTTAAGCAATAAATAATTTTGATTGTCTGCAGAAGAATCTACTGTTATACAATGAACTGCCTAATTACTCTAATTAAGCCTTTGAATCGCACTTTGAATCTGAATGCTTGTATTTTGAAAATAGACTAGTATTATGTGCTGTCATCATAAAAGAAATCAGTAATTAGAAATGAATCATTAAAACTATTATGTTCAGAAATAAGTTGAAAAAAATCTTATTTCCATGAAACAGAAATTGAGGAGGAAAAGGGTTGCTAATATTCAGGAGAGATAATATTTCTGACTTTTACTGCATATATACAGTTATTTTCCACCCTGCAAAGAAAAGAGAAATAAAACAATACAATAAAAGTATGAAATAAACTGTGCTTTAAGCATCTTCACTGTAAGAAAAACACTTTAGCTACAAAAGTCCTTCAGTCAAGAGCAGAGAGGGATTTTCTCTTTTTGTTGTTTATTAATAATGATAAAAACAGGCGGCAGCAGGAACATCGCACTGTCTCTTTAATGGTTTCTCTTTCACGTCTTTTGATTCTCAACTCGTATGTTTATTACACAAATGAGGGTTAATATGAATAATCACTAAACACCGCGTTTTGACACCTTTTTGACCATTAAAGCGCTCACATTAAGATGACTTTGGATGTGTGCGCTGACTGCGATCTGCTCGTCAGTGTGCGAATGAGAACGAATGCTGCTGACGGTATGCTTGTGTGTGTGCGCGTCGCACACACACACACACACACACACACACATAAGCATGCAGTCTTTCGCACTGCTATCATTTATCTCGATTAATGGTTTTTCATAATCGTTAGAAGCTAAAATCGAAATCGGATTTTCGATTAATTGCACAGCCCTACTTAGAACCACAGCAACCTGCGAAACTTGACGCATGACCCTGCGTTTCCGGTCTGACACATTCGCGTGCGTATGAATGGAAGTCAATGGGAGGAAAAGCCCAGTGTGACCGCAGCTTTACTCTGCTGCTGAGTAACTTTTCCTCAATTTATAGATCTTTTTCATTGCTGCTGCATGGAGGGCGCCATAGCGACCAGCGTCTTCCGGTAGAATGCTAAAAACTTCCGTTCACAGCGTGTACAACTGGTAATTTGCGCTCCGAAAATGGGTTTCAATAACGTTTTTAATGGACAACAGAGTGTTTTTGTGACACGCAACTTAGAAATGTGTCTGTTAAAGCCGTTATAATCTGTCACATGTGGTTCAAGCGCGTCAGAAATACGAGAAAAACGTTCTCCTAGTTCACGTGTCTGCCGTCAGAAATACAGTGTGTGTTCACGGCCTGTCAGCTGTTAGCTCAGCGGCTCTTTAAGACACAGAGAGAGAGAGAGCAAACCAGAGTAACGTTACTGGCATGAAACTTAACAGGTATGAAAGTCGTGCAATTTACAAAAATGACCAATAAAAGTCTGTTATTGATCCTCTGCTGGCTGATTTGCTGTTCATTCTAATCGCGAGCCGTTTGTGTTTTATTTCGTGTGTTGTTTTTACCACGGTTTGTGTTTTTCTGTCATTTCGAAATGACATTAGCCTATATTTTCACGTTGTCACAGTTATTAAATCAGTGTGTCAGTGGCACAGTACAGGCTACGTGTGTGTGTCAAACATTTTGGTGAATGACATGTGTTTGGGCTGGTTATATATTTGAAATAAAGAGAAAATGTTGACTTTAGCGATGACGAGGCTTCATTTAAACTGCAGAAGATGCCGACTGACAACGAGGGGAAAACGCCTCACAGCAGCTGTTTTCCATCCTATTAGATCACATTTCTGTAAATGATCAGTCCAGGAGATGGTGCTGATGGTCAACAGTATTAGTTCAAAGAGGATAAAAGCAGGTAAAATAGATTAAAACTATCATTTCAGAGCTGTCCAAATGTGACTGTTTACACGCATCAGCTGCCGACCGGAAGTTCTTCGCATTCTCCTTGCGCATGCACGCAAAGCATAATGGGTAATTTTGCGTTCCAAGAAAAAGGTCTATAGAGGGACCAAATACACGGTGAACTGAGTAACCTTTACTCTGAGATTTTATGCCGTGTGGTTTAAAAGATTAAAAAAAAAAATTTTGGCCACTCAACCAACTGCCTTTAATCCACAGCCATGTCCATACATTTTGCACTGCTTTGTTTGTATAAAAATGCAAAAAATAAAAACAAATCCAGTTAATACTGTTTCAAAAAGTAAAAAAATATAGTGCAGATAAATGCAGCCTTTTCTGCACTTCCCCACTAATTTCACAGCTCTATAAAAACACCACATGAGCAAAGTGAGATTTTTAGAGATTGCTAAACAAAAAAAACGTTTAAAATAATCCTTGTTAGAGACAAGTTCTCCAATATTTCACACCCTGGCACCGCTCCACTGTACAACAGGGAACACTTCTTTGATTTCCCATTCTTTCAACTACTCTGTGGCAGCTTCTGCTTGGGCCTCTGGACTGCATTCTGCTTCCTGTGCAGAGGGAGCCGATTCTTCTGCCGCAGCTGCTTCATTCTGAGAAGGACTGGGCTCTGTCGCCACTGCTGGCTCAGTTTTTGACTCCTCAGTTGCAGGACTGGTAGGCTTGGTCTCCTCTACTGGATTCTGCTCTGTTTTGGCCGCCTCCTCTGTGGTTTGGGCCTTCTCTTCTGACACACCTTCAACAGCTCCATCCGTCTTGGCTTCATCGTTGCCTGCCGCTACTGCCTCCTCGCCGTTATCCCCTGTCTCCTTCTTGGTTTTCTTAAAAGAGAAGCCACTCAGTTTGAAAGATTTCTTAAAAGAAAAGCGCTTCTTCTTCTTCTTAGGGGTCTCGTTGCTTGTCGAGGGAGTTGCTCCATCCATTACAGCCTCCTCTTCAGTCGGTGCAATCGCTTCTGTGTTTGCATCTGTGGCCTCCTTTTCAGCAGGAGCTTCCTCGTTCTTCTCTCCATCCTCTGCTGGTGCGGTGCCGTTGGTCCGGACCTCTTCTTTCTGCTCAGCAGCTGCTGGAGATGCATCGCCGTTCACTCTTAGGTGGCCATTTTCCTAAAGCAAAGCACACACCATCATTACACATCCAAGCATTTGCGTTAACCATTATCTCTATTATAAGAGGACAAGTTGTAAAAAAAAAAAAAATGTTATTATTTAGTTTTTTCATCATTTTATTTATTCAATTATTCACTATATTTTCAGCTTAAGCCTGGTTTATACTTCTGCGTCAAGTGACCGGCGTAACCCACGGCGCATGCAACACGCGTAGCTGTGCATTTATACTTCTGCGCACTGTCTCTGTTGGGATGCATTAACACTTCCGAAATGCTAGAGGGCAGTGAGGTGTTAGCGAGTGGGTGCGGTGCATAGATATGTACACTACATATCGCATAGAGACCCTGAGCATGCGTCAATAGCGCCGCCATATTTGTACAGTGCTCCCAGGACAAGTGTCATTCAACTGCACTAGACAAGACAGTGTTATTACGTGAAGATGCGGGACTTTAGCGCTGTCTACGGGTGTAGTAACGAGCAAACAAAGAAAACAAAGCACAAAGGCAGAACATTTCATAGGTAATATTATGTTTTTTTCTGTTTTTGTATGTTCTGAACTTTTGTGCCAATCAGGTAACGTTATTGATGATAACAGTCACTTACTGCATTCACCATAAGACAAAGAAGCTCCAACTCGCACTAAACACTCGGCTTATGCTAGTTTTGTTGAATAAAATCAGCAAACAATGCAAAAGAAATATGACAACGAGATGCTGCGCTGCCAGAAACTTGTATTATTGTCGGCTAATGTTAGTGAAAGAGTCGTTCAGGGGATTCATTCACAAACGAATCGCTCTCTCCGTCAGTATGAGAAGGGAAAGCAGGAGATGAGGTGTGTTTCAGGACACGGATTAGATTCAATTTAACAGGGAGGGTGAATAGTACATTTCTGTACACACAAACACAAGCTTTTTGTCAGGAATGCCCGTGCGGTCACTGATCCATCAATGTAGAAAAGTGATGTAAAATTATAATTTTCGTAATTAGAAAAAAAATTACATACTAACATCCAGGAAAACTCCCGATCACAGATATATGTGTATATGTGTATATCTCTGGCTTTGCATGGCCACAGTCCTCCACTGTACCTTGGTCCCGCATTCATTTCAAAGGAGCGCTACCCTGTAGCAAGATGGCGGCGCTATTGACGCATTCCGTCCAATAGACAAAAATAGGCCATGCGACATCTAGTGTATATATCTATGGGTGCGGTGCACGGGAATGGTTCTCTGCGCGCATTTGCTTTCACCAGCGTTGAACCAGCGCTGAGGGGGAGAGGCAGTAAATCACTGAAATCAGCTACACATACACTATACGTCAGTGGCACAAACAATAATTTAGTGCATTTTATTTATTTATTGAAATATTGGGAATTTACATAAGTACATTTAAATTATTAATATCAAAATCATGTTGGGGTGGCCACAGGGGTGGCCAGAGTTTACCCAGGGGCCCTTGGGGGCGCCCCTGACACAAACACAAGCTTTTTGTCAGGAATGCCAGTGCGATCACTGATCCATCAATGTAGAAAAGTGATGTAAAATTATAATTTTCGTTATTAAAAAAAATAATTGCATACTAACATCCAGGAAAACTCCCGATCATAGATATATGTCTATATGTGTATATCTCTGGCTTTAGATGGCCACAGTCCTCCACTGTATCTTGGTTGCGCATTCATTTCAATGGAGCGCTGCCCTGTTCCAAAATGGCGGCTCAATTGACGCATTCCTTCCAATAGACGACAACAAATGTATATATCTATGAGGTGTATCGAGCATGTGTGACTAAAGGCGTGGCGTGCCATTGTTACTCTAACAATCACCGCTACTCTTGCAAAACTAGAAGAAAATAACACTAATAATAACATAAATAATGCCGTATAATGTCAGTTCCCTGTTAGTTCGGCGCTTTCATAAGGACTCTCTTTAAAACAAGTTTTAACAGAATAAATAAGCCCTAAATAGGATTTCTAAAGCAGCACAAATGAAACGTTTAAATAACATTAACGCACTGTACTATTCTAATTAAAGTTAAATATAATACATATCGTAAAAAACGAGATGTTGCGCTTAATGTGTGTGGTAGTTGATTTGGGTCTCTGCGTGAGAATTGACTCGCGTAATGAACAAGATCCATAAATCATGTTTACCGTATTTGGTACCTGTCCGTTGGCTTTGGAGGGTGAAACTGCAGCCTCTCCTGGGTTTTCAGCTGCTGTTTCTTCTTTTCCAGCTGTTTTTGTGAATTGCGCTCCCATGCTTTCCCTCCAACAAAGAGCTCAACAGATCCCAATACAGAACAAAGAGCAGCAAGCCACCGACTCCTCACTATAAAGAGCTGAATTAAAAATACACGCGGTGAGCAATTCCAATATTAAGACAAAGACCGGTGTTATAAAAAACAACCTGAACTGGTTAAGTTTTACAAAAATAAATCAGATTTGTGCTCTGACACTGTAAAAAAGCACAGAAAATGGAGAAATTTCCCTGGTTACTAATAAGATGCGGAGTCCAACGCCCAACTGCAACGATGAATGGGCAGTCCGCTCAATGACGTCACTCAAAGCAGTCGACGTCCAATCAGAATAGACTTTCAGCAAGAAGGCGCAGCTTAAACCTAAACCAACCAATCCTATTGGACCGTCTGCATGAAGGCGCGTCTTCAAAAGTCCAAACGAACAATAGAAATAGACAGTGTAAACAACATAAGCACCAACAACAGAATCCCTCTTCGATAATGTTTTTTTTTTTTAAAGCGGTTTGCTCTTTGTATGATGGAAGCTATCCCAGCATATCAAGGAAAAGTTTAATAATGAGGATTTTCATCGAACGAAGAAACATGCAGTGTAGTTTTCGTGGGAAATGTGACGTTTTATATTGATAATATAAGCGTCACATACTTCTAATTCTGTGACCGACATGTTTATTATTCAAATGTTTATGTATGAAATAGTGATTTACATGGAGAGGGGTCTGGCTGCAGACCTGGTGCAGTGCAATCTGGGCTGCATCCAATGCTTTTTAATGGGCTCACCTAACCCTACCCGTCACAGTGACGTCACTAGCTCCATTTGAGTGCATTGTGTCTGACATTGCATCGCTGAGTGATGCAGTCTCATCTTGCATCATAAAGGCTGCATCCAGATACTATTGTTTACATGCATTTCTACCTTTTATTGTTTAAGTTTCTTTTATGATATTCAAGTGAGTTTATAGAGGTAATTATTTTATTTGTTTAGATTTAGCATATATTATAAATTATGTATTATATTATTAATATTGTTATTTATTTTTGTAAGTTTTTGTTGATATTTGGCACAGTAAGCTCTGGCTAAAGTGGCTGTGAGCCTATAGGGGCCCAGATGAGTTATTTTTGGGCAAGTATCTCTGGATGAAGACGGTGTGAGCTTAAAGCAGCTGAGGTAAGATGTGGCAAGTATGGTACTGTTATCCTAAAACATGTGATAGATCACTTTTGGTAAAGTACAGTGATCATTTGATATTTATAGGGGTCAAACCATAGCTCTTTGACATGGCAGATATGGGTAGTAATATACACTGTAAAACTTTTCGATGTAAATTAACAGAATAATACTGGCAGCTGGGTTGTCAGCCACATACTGTGTTTTTAAACTTGTTCCTGGAGGGCTGATGTCCTGCAGATTTACGCTCTAACCCTAATCAAACAAGCTAATCAAGGTCTTACTAGGTATACTTGAAACACCCAGGCAGGTGTGTTGAGGCAAGTTGGAGCTAAACCCTGCAGGGACACCGGCCCTCCTGGACCGAGATTGGTGACCCCTGCTTTAGCCCTTTAAAGCCCACAGCAAAGTTCTCAGTTTTAAATCAACACTTCCAAGTGTCCTCACTAGCCTACTGAGTGCTCAAGAAACAGTGAAACACAGCTGAAGATAATGGGTTGCTTGTATAATAATAGAAAATTGGTGATTAACAAATCCTTTTTTTCAAACAGAAATAATAAGGGGAAAAAACAAAAACAAAATAAACACACTACAACTGACTTGTCAAAGCTTTGTAATGAAATCAACTGAGGTACAACAAATTATTAAATCAAATAAAAAACAGCACCCCACAAACAGCACCACCAGCTACTCTTATTACTAGTCTGTTTAATTTTGTCTAACATCCACAAAAGTTCTTCTTAAATTAAGCTTTACATTAAGTCACCATCGAAAAGTTCTTGCTTTAATTGGGCTCTTAGCCCTGAACTTATTAATATTGATTTCTTTGGACTGCAGTAACTTACAGCAGATGTGCTCAATACTGTTCCTGGAGATCTACCTTCCTGTACAGTTTAGCTCCTACCCTGATCAAACCCACCTGAACCAATTAATTAGGACCTGAAATCCACTTGATAATTACACACAGGTGTGTTTGATAAGGTTTGCAACTGAAATCTGCAGGAAGGTAGATCTCCTGGAGCAGGATTGGCCACCCCTGACTTACAGTATAAGAACTTTGTTTGAAAAGTTTATTTGTTACAGCAAACAAGCCAAATAAAACTTAAATAAATAAAAAGTCAGGTGATGCTAATTGTTTTGAAGTGAGGCACAAACTGTGATAAACTAATATAATTCACAGATGTTAACCAATGTTTAATCCATTGTCAGAAGTAACATAATAACATGCTTGCACATGTCACAAAATTATAAAGGTTTATAAACAACACAAGTTTATGGTTAACTTCTGCTCACAGAGACATTAATAATGAGCGTATGAACCTCAACAACGGTGATGATTAACAAAATTTAAAAAACTCACAAACATCACAAACAGCAGTCACTGTCCTCCATTAGTGACACCAAACTAAATTAAACACCTAAACCTTTGTTCATTCTCAATAAGAAACTCTCGGAAAGAAGCCAGGTGTATATATTGTGCAGGGATTTTCTTGATAAACAAAGGCCTTTTATTGTTACTTGTATGCTACTTGTTTGCATTATGACTAACTTAAAAAACACTTTTAGCACATTTATCATAATGACACAACTCATGGATTACAATTCTCCTGTAATATTATGCTACCCATCACACACAAACTGCTCAGAGACAAAGAAAAGAAAATTAAAAACACAAAATTGTAACCCTGAAAGTTGATTAACAGACTAAATATGCCAAAAAATCACAAGAATAATATTTCAAGGAAACAGAACTCTGCCAATTACCAGAAATGAAGAAAAAACCTTGAAAGATGCAGGCTCAGGGGGTCACTAAACATCTTAAGCAGAAGTGCGGTTTACAAACAAAAAAAAGAAAAAAAAAAAAACAAATAAAAATACAGAACTGGAACTCTGATGATTGACCAACATAAAATAACATTAAGAATTCACAGGCTCACTCTTTCATAACTGCTGTTGTTCACCAAGTTTAACTGCCGCTCAGTTCAGGCTCTTTTCCTCCAAAACTGCTTTAAGCAGTCAGGGACGGTCATCAACAGTGTAGAGCATATGAGACAAACCATTTCTCTACACCAGATTCACGCTTAGAAAAGAGCATCAACACTCTTCATCGCGGTTTGGGAGACACAACACTTTCAAAACACATTTCCTAGTGAGAACCTATAGAAATGATCCCTGAAAGTATAGTCTTAATCTTCAGGCTCAAAAGCAGCTGGAGTCTCTTCTGTCACTCGCTGTCTCACTTACGGAGACGCTCACAAAGCCATGAGAAGTTTGATTCAATTCATCTTTATTTCCACAGTGCTTTTACAACGTAAGCAGTCAAAACAGCTGAACACAGATGATGAAAACAGAGTAAAAGCCGTAATATTTCAAATTGGGGAACATTCCAACAATTCAGGCAGGAATAAGAGAAGTGGCAGAATGCTGGAGTAAGATCTAGTTAAGTTGAAACTGCTTCGTTTAGTATAAATGTCACGGTGGAAGTTCAGTTCAGCTAATTTCAGATCAGCGCAATGCAAATGTCACTGTTGAAGGTCGATCCACTGAAGAGAAACTCCAACGTTGCACAGCTCCAGCAGCGCCAACCAAGCAAGCCAGAGGCGGCAACAGTAGCAAGGGACCAAATAACATCCAACTACAGACCCACACGTTACAGACCACAATAGATTCAGACCACTAGATCCAGGCTGGATATATTTCGAGGAACCAGAACTCTGTCAATTACCAGAAAAAAAGAAAAAATCTTGAGAGAATCCAGGCTCAGTGGGCCACAGACAGTTCTTTACTGACTAAGCATCTTGGGCAGAGCATCAGTTTAAAGACAAAATAACTACAAAACTAAAACGTAATTCTCAAAACTGATCAACATCCTTAAACCGCTAACAAAAAGTAAGATCAATCTTTCATAACTGATGGTGTTCACCAAGTCTGACTACCACTCAGTTCAGGCTCTTTTCCTCCAAAACTGTGTTAAACAGTCAGGAGCAGTCATCAACAGTGTAGAGCACATGAGACGAACTATTTCTCTACACCAGATTCACGCTTAGAAAAGAGCATCAACACTCTTCATGGTGGTTTGGGAGACACAACACTTTCAAAACACATTTCCTAGTAAGAAACTATAGAAATGATCCCTGAAAGTATAGTCTTAATCTTCAGGCTCAAAAGCAGCTGGAGTCTCTTCTGTCACTCGCTGTCTCACTTACGGAGACGCTCACAAAGCCATGAGAAGTTTGATTCAATTCATCTTTATTTCCACAGTGCTTTTAACAACGTAAGCAGTCAAAACAGAGTAAAAGCCGTAATATTTCAAATTGGGGAAAATTCCAACAATTCAGGCAGGAATAAGAGAAGTGGCAGAATGCTGGTGTAAGATCTAGTTAAGTTGAAACTGCTTCGTTTAGTATAAATGTCACGGTGGAAGTTCAGCTCAGCGCAATGCAAATGTCACTATTGAAGGCCGATCCACTGAAGAGAAACTTCAACGTTGCACAGCTTCAACAGAGCCAACCAAGCAAGCCAGAGGCGGCAACAGTAGTAAGAGACCAAATAACATCCAACTGCAGACCCACACGTTACAGACCACAGTAGATTCAGACCACTAGATCCAGGCTGAAAATAAATTTCAAGGAACCAGAACTCTGCCATATACCAGAAATGAAGTAAAAACCTTTAAAAAATCCAGACTCAGCGGGCCACAGACAGTTCTTCTCTAACTTAACATCTTGGGCGGAGCAGCAGTTTAAAGAAAATAATTAAAAGACAAAGATAAAACAAAACAAAATTCTAAAGACACAAAGACATCATAAGGTCAATCTTTCATAACTGAATTTGTTCTCCAAGTCTAATTGCCGCTCAGTTCAGGCTCTTTTCCTCCAAATCTGCTTTAAGCAGTCAGGAGCAGTCATCAACAGTGTAGAGCATATGAGACAAACCATTTCTCTACACCAGATTCATGCTTAGAAAAGACCATCAACACTCTTCATCGCGGTTTGGGAGACACAACACTTTCAAAACACATTTCCTAGTGAGAAACTATAGAAATGATCCCTGAAAGTATAATCTTAATCTTCAGGCTGCAAAAGCAGCTGGAGTCTCTTCTGTCACTCGCTGTCT